AGATACCATATTAAATTTTATAGTAATAATATAATATTTATGTATTATATAAATAATCTACATTATATATATATATATATATATATATAGCTAATATAATAATTCTCTTAAAGAAAAAAAGAAAAAAATAATTGTTATTTTATTATTGACGAAGGAGCTGGGGGTGGTGACGGCTGACAGGGAGCTCTGGCGTGGGCTGGTCCATGAGGTCACGAGTCGGAGACGACTGAACGAATGAACAACAACATACATAATATTTAATAATATGTATTATATTATATATTACATTATTAATATATATTATTACTATTATATAATATATAATATTATGTATTAATAATATTTTTGTAAATTGTTATTATATACCATATTAAAATATATATAATATAATATATTATTTATGTATTATATATATTAATAATCTACATTATATATATATATATATATATATATTGCTAATATAATAATTATCTTAAGAAATCAAAAAAGAAATAATTATGCTATTATTATATTATTGATTATACATAATATTTAATAATATGTATTATATTATATATTATATGCTACATTATTAATATATATTATTACAATTATATAATATATAATATCATTTATTAATAAATTATTGTAAATTATTAATATTAGATACCATATTAAAATATATAGTAATCATATAATATTTATGTATTATATATATTAATAATCTACATTATATATATATATATTGCTAATATAATTATCTTAGAGCAAAAAAGAAAGAAATAATTATATTATTATATTATTGATTATACATAATATTTAATAATATGTATTATATTATATATTATATGCTACATTATTAATATATATTATTATATATTATTACTATTATATAATATCATTTATTAATAAATTATTATAAATTATTAATATTATATACCATAGTAAAATATATAATATATTTATGTATTATATATGTGTGTGTGTATATATATATAGACACACATACATATATATACACATATATAATTCATAAATATATTATGTATTATATATTAATAATTTGTGTTATGAAATGAAGTTTGTATCCATTGAAGCATCAGAGAGAAAAAGGGTGTTGATTTCATCTATTTTGATCCTACTTGAACTGCCATGGCTCAATGCTATAGAATCCTAGGAGTTGTGGTTTTACAAGGTCTTTAGTTCTGTTTTCTCTCCAAACTACAAAACTCAGAATTCCATAGCATAGAGCCATGGCATCAAACTGCAATAATTATTCGGTGCAGATGCATCCTCTGTGTAACCCTTCTGCTTTGTCTCTTCCAGCGTTCGTACTCTTTGATTCTGGAGGCTTGGGATGCTGTCAATGAATCTGATGTCAACACTCCAGGTAAAAAATATGGATGTCCCTTGAGACCTCTTCCAACTCTAGAATTCTACAATTCATCACAGACCAGATGGCCATCTGTTGGGAAGGCTTTTGTTGTGTCTCTCTGCCTGTCAAAAGGGGGTTGGACTGGATGGAGTCACTTCCAACACTAGGATTCTGTGATCCATGATGAGAGACTAGATGGCCATCTGTTGGGAGGGCTTTGATGGTGTCTTCCTCCCGGCAGAACGGGTTGGACTAGACTGGATGGCCTTTGGTGTCGCTAAGATTTTGAATAAATGAACCTTGTGAAACCTCAGCCCTTTCTTCCAACTCTAGATTTCTACAATTCATCACAGACCAGATGGTTATCTGTTGGGAGGGCTCTGATGGTGTCTTCCTCCTGGAAGAAGGGGTTGGACTGGATAGCATTTGCGGTCGCTAGGATTTTGAATAAATGAACCCTGTGAAACTCAAACCTTTCTTCCAACTCTAGAATTCTACAATTCATCACAGATCAGATGGCCATCTGTTGGGAGAGCTTTGATGGTGTCTTCCTCCCGGCAGAAGGGGTTGGACTGGATGGCCTTTGGGGTCGCTAGGCTATTGAATAAATGAACTCTGTGAAACTTCAACCCTTTCTTCCAACTCTAGAATTCTACAATTCATCACAGACCAGATGGCCATCTGTTGGGAAGGCTTTTGTTGTGTCTCCCTGCCTGTCAAAAGGGGGTTGGATTGGATGGGCTCACTTCCAACTCTAGGATTCTGTGATCCATGATGCCATCTGTTTGGAGGGCTTTGATAGTGCCTTCCTCCTGGCAGAAGGGGTTGGACTGGATGGCCTTTGGGGGTCCCTTCCAACTCGAAGATTCTGTGACCCATTAGAGACTAGATGGCCATCTTTTGGGAGGGCTTTGATGGTGTCTTCCTCCTGGCAGAAGAGTTTGGACTGGATGGCCTTTGGGTTCCCTTCCAACTCGAGGATTCTGTGACCCATTAGAGACTAGATGACCGTCTGTTGGGAGGGCTTTGATGGTGTCTTCCTCCTGGAAGAAGGAGTTGGACTGGATGGCCTTTGGGGGTCCCTTCCAACCCGAGGATTCTGTGACCCATTAGTGACTAGATGGCCATCTGTTGGGAGGGCTTTGATGGTGCCTTCCTCCTGGCAGAAGGGGTTGGACTGGATGACCTTTGGGGTCCCTTCCAACTCGAGGATTCTGTGACTCATTAGAGACTAGATGTCCATCTGTTGGGAGGGCTTTGATGGTGCCTTCCTCCTGGAAACCTCAACCCTTTCTTCCCTGCCCTCCTCCCTGTTCCCAGGAGCCGGTCAGTTGGTGGAACGGGTGACTCGATCAGGGATGCTGAACCCGAGCGAGGGTTGGCAAGACCTTCGGCACCACGGCCGGGGCGTCTTGCTGGACTTCCGGTTGCGTGTGCGCTGCCAGGAGCACTATTACGGCCCGGCGTGCAACCTCTTGTGCCGGCCCCGTGATGACTTCTTCGGGCACCATGGCTGCGACGCCGCGGGCAACAAGGTCTGTCTGGATGGATGGACGGGAGACGAGTGTAAACAAGGTATGTTCCCGGGACGTCCGGGGAAGGGTCCATTTAGGCAAACTTGGGCCCTCCAGGTGTTTTGGACTTCAACTCCCACAATCCCTAACGGCCTCAGGCCCCTTCTTTTTCCCCTTCAGCCGCTTAAGCGGCTGAAGGGGAAAAAGAAGGGGCCTGAGGCCGTTAGGGATTGTGGGAGTTGAAGTCCAAAACACCTGGAGGGCCCAAGTTTGCACGTGCTGTTCATATTTAATTCTAATAACAATAATAATTCTTCCTTCTTTCTTTCTTTCTTGCAGCGGTGTGTCGCCAAGGGTGTCACGGGTTTTGTGAGGAACCTGGTGAGTGCAGGTAAGCCAAAGAGAGGAAGGGGCTGGAGACACCTCCCCATTCCTCACGTAAATCCAAAACATTAGGAAAATAGACAGAGGTCCATACTATATTTCTTCCCCCAACTTCGAGACCGGTACTACATCTCTTTTCCCAGCCTTTTCAACTTATAATTTTTTGCGTTTTTAGCTGCTCCGAAGTGCTGGAGTTTCTATTCCAAAGGAACGGAGATCAGTGCAAGTTGGGAAGTTAGGCGTTTGGAAAATTAGGAAGTTGGGAACTAGTTAAGATGTGAAATTGAGATATTGGGAAGTTGGCGAGTTAGGCATTTGGAAAATTAGGAAGTTGGGAACTTGGGAAGTTAGAAACTTCCGAATTCGCCACCTTCCCAACTTCCTAACTTGCCATCTTCCCAACTTGCCACCTTCCCAACTACCATCTTGCCACTTTCCCTTCCTAACTTGCCACCTTTCCAATTTAACAACTTCCTAATTTACTAACTTCCCACCTTGCCAACTTCCCAAATTTCTACATTACCACCTTGCCAACTTGCCATCTTCCCAACTTCCTAATTTGCCAACTTCCCACCTTCCTAACTTGCCAATTTCCTAATTTGCTAACTTCCCAACTCCCTAACTTCCTAATTTGCCAACATGCCACCTTCCCAATTTCCTAACATGCCACCTTCCTAATTTCCTAATTTGCCACCCCCTAACTTGCCAACTTCCTAATTTGCCAATTTCCCTACTTCCTAACCTGCATTTTCCCAGTTTCCTAACTTACCACCTTCCTAACTTGCCAATTTCCCTACTTCCTAACCTGCAACTTCCTAATCTGCCACCTTTCCAATTTGCCAATTTCCTAACTTGCCACCTTCCTAACTTGCAAACTTCCTAACTTGCCAGTTTCCCTACTTCCCAATTTGCCAACTTCCCAACTTCATACCTTACCACCTTCCTAACTTGCCAACTTCCTAACTTGCTAGTTTCTCTACCTCCTCACCTGCAGCTTCCCAACTTCCTAACTTGCCACCTTCCCAATTTGCCAATTTCCTAACTTTGCCACCTTTCCAATTTACCAACTTCCTAATTTACTAACTTGCCACCTTGCCAGCTTCCTAACTTGCCACTTGCCACTTTCTCTTCCTAACTTGTCAATGTCCTAACTTGCCACCTTTCCAATTTACCAACTTCCCAACTTTACTAACTTTCCACCTTGCCAACTTCCTACGTTACCAAATTGCCACCTTCCCAACTTTCCAATTTGCCACCTTCCTAATTTGGCAACTTCCTAACTTGCCAATTTCCCTACTTCCTAACCTGCAGCTTCCCAACTTCCTAACCTGCCACCTTTCCAATTTGCCAACTTCCTCATTTGCTAACTTTCCACCTTCCCAACTCCCTAACTTCCTAACTTGCCAGCATGCCACCTTCCCAACTTCCTAACATGCCACAATCCTAATTTCCTAATTTGCCACCCTCCTAACTTGTCAATTTCCCTACTTCCTAACCTGCAACTTCCCAACTTCCTAACCTGCCACCTTCCCAATTTGCCAATTTCCTAACTTGCCACCTTCCTAACTTGCAAACTTCCTAACTTGCCAATTTTCCAACTTTCTAACTTGCCAACTTCCTTACTTGCCATCTTCCCAATTTGACAATTTCCTAACTTGCTACCTTCTCAGTTTCCCACCTTGCCACCATCCTAACTTTCCAACTTCCTAACTTGCCAATTTCCCTACTTCCTAACTTGCCAACTTCTGAACTTGCCTATTTCCCAACTTCATAAGTTGCTAACTTCCCTACTTTCTAAATTGTCAACTTCCCAACTGTGTTCAGCTACAATTTGGGTCAGTTTGCATTAATTTTCCACACGCAGCGATGCCCTTTTGAAGGCAAATCCCATCATCCAGGCGACATCCGGCCAAGTTCGGCCCTTCCCTGCAGTCGGATCGGGTCCTCAATCCCAGCCCAGCTGGGAAGTTAGGAAAGGGTTGACTCCCCTCCAGGGGAATGAAGTCACCCCTTGGATTCAAGGTCTGACGCGGCTGGGGTGCGGCAGTCGGGAAATGGGTTTGTGGGCCACCCAGGTTTTGGACGAGGAAAGCTTGGCACGGGACAGAAACCTGGCTGGCACACCCACCCACTCCCATTCAGCTGGGGCCTTGGGCTGAGCCATCCAAATAAATAAACTCTGAAGACATCATGGTGACGTCAAGCTTCGGCAGCGAGTCAGAGACAGCTTAATTTATTCTAGCAAAGCCTAGAAAAGTTGCTTTTTTTTGGACTTTTTTGCTGGGATTTTCTATTGCCTGGAGCTTTAGATTTTCTGTAGTCTTAGCTTTAGACTTGGAGTCTCTTTCAAGGGGGGAGATGATAATAATAATAATAATAATAATAATAATAATAATAATAATAATAATAATGTTTTTATGAAGTGTTTTCAACTATGTTGTGCCCTACCTCAAGGGGCAAGAAGAGGTGGGTAGTAAATAATAATAATAATCTATATAAATAAAAATGTAATGTTCGTTTGTGGGATTGACATAACTCAAAAACCACTGGACGAATTGACACCAAATTTGGACACAATACACCTAATGAGTGACCATCACTCATAGAATTCCCCCCAAAACAGTGGAAAGGACTTAAAAAAACCCCAAAAAGCTAAATGATGAAAAACTAAATGACAATACAGAAAAAAGGGGATGGAAGGAAGGGGAGAAAGAAAATAAGAAATAAATAGAGAAAGAGAGAGGGAGGGAAGGAAAGAGGTAGAGAAAGGAGAAAAGAGAAGGAAAAGAAAAGGAGGAAAGAAAGGAAAGAGGTGGAGAAAGGAAGGAAGGAAGGAGAGAAGGAAAGAAAAAAGGGAAGGAAGGAAAGAGGGAGCGAAGGAAGGAGGGAAAGAAGGAAAGAAAGAGGGAGAGAAGGAAAGAGAGAAAGAAGGAAGGAAGAAGGAAGGAAAGAGGAGAGAAGGAAGAAAGGAGAGGAAAAAAGGGAAAAGGAAAAAGGGGGAGGAGGAAGGAAAGAGAAGGAAGGAGAAGGGAAAGAAAGAAAGAAAGAAAGGAAAAGAGAAGGAAGGAGAAAGAAGGAAGGGGAAGAAGGAAGGAAAGAAAAGAGAAGGAAGGAAGGAAGGAAAAAAGGAAGAAAGAAGAGGAAGGAAGGAAAGAGGATAGAGGAAGGAAGGAGAGAAGGAAAGAAAAGGGAGGAAGGAAAGAGGGAGCGAAGGAAGGAGGAAAAGAAGGAAGGAAAGAGGGAGGGAAAGGAAAGAGAGAAAGAAGGAAGGGTAGACAGAAGGAAGGAAAGAGGTAGAGAAGGAAGGAAGGAGAGAAGGAAAGAAAATAAGGGAAGGAAGGAAAGAGGGAGTGAAGGAAGGAGGAAAAAAGGAAGGAAAGAGGGAGCGAAGGAAGGAGGGAAAGAAGGAAAGAAAGAGGGAGAGAAGGAAAGAGAGAAAGAAGGAAGGAAAGACAGAAGGAAGGAAAGAGGTAGAGAAGGAAGGAAGGAGAGGAAGAAAGAAAAAAAAGGGAAGGAAAGAAAGAGGGAGCAAAGGAAGGAGGGGAAAGAAGGAAAGAAAGAGGGAGAGAAGGAAAGAAAGAAAAAAGGAAGAAAAGAGGGAGTGAAGGAAGGAGGGAAAGAAGGAAAGAAAGAGGGGGAGAAGGAAAGAGAGAAAGTAGGAAGGAAAGAGAGAAGGAAGGAAAGAGGTAGAGAAGGAAGGAAGGAGAGAAGGAAAGAAAATAAGGGAAGGAAGGAAAGAGGGAGCAAAGGAAGGAGGGAAAGAAGGAAAGAAAGAGGGAGGAGAAGGAAAGAGAGAAAGAAGGAAGGATAGACAGAAGGAAAGAGGTAGAGAAGGAAAGAAAATAAGGGAAGGAAGGAAAGAGGGAGCGAAGGAAGGAGGGAAAGAAGGAAAGAAAGAGGGAGAGAAGGAAAGAGGGAGCGAAGGAAGGAGGGAAAGAAGGAAAGAAAGAGGGAGAGAAGGAAAGAGAGAAAGAAGGAAGGATAGACAGAAGGAAGGAAAGAGGAAGAGAAGGAAGAAAGGAGAGGGAAAAGGGGAAAGAAAAAGACTCCAGGAAACCATCTTGCCTCATGGTTTATTCTTCCCATTGAGCTCTCAGGTGCTTTTGGAAGGTACCTAAGGCAGGTCTCTGTCCAAAGGTGTTTTCAATTGGAAAGTCAATATAGAAATCTTGAGTTCAATTGTTTCGTCAATAATAAAATTCAGCCCACAGATTGCATCAGCCGACAGGTTGCATCAGCATTGTTTTTAATCTCTTTTAATTATTTTTTACTATTTTAAGTTGTCTGTATTGCACAGCAGCTTGAAAATCTTCCAATATAGGGTGGGATATTTATGAATTAATTGTTCAACCAATTATAAACTTCCGCTTTCTTCCCAGCTGCCATTATGGCTGGAGGGGAACCCTCTGCGATGAATGCATCCCCTTCCCGGGTTGCGTCCACGGGAGCTGCACCGAGCCGTGGAAGTGCGACTGCGAGACCAACTGGGGAGGACTTCTGTGTGACAAGGGTAAGAGTATAGAAGGGACCCCAAAGGCCATCCAGTCCAAAATTACAACACATTAAAATAAATAAATAAACAAGATAAAATAAACAGTGCAAAACAACATAATAACAAGTCAAACACCATGGGTGGGTTAAATGCACAAGACAAAATGATTTTTAAAATGATAATGATAGTTAGAAAGGGTTTATAATGATTAATGGGAGGCTAATGCCTCAGTCGAGTCAACGTTGTTAATTCATGCCGGTTTCGTTTTCAAGTGCTATATGTTTCATGTACCAAGTTGTTGCCAAGTTTAGGTTTTTGCCTGAGAGTTCCTGCTGTTTTGCTTCATGGTTTCAAGTTCCTGGCTTCATGGATTTCTACGAGGGTTGAATGAAAAGTAATGCCTCTACCTTTGTTACTTGGGTTTGGATGGGAATATTTTAATAAATCAAACACAGAAATAATCCTAGAATGTGCTCTTTAACTACCACTATTCACTTTTCCACATAATCACCAGACAATTGGATACATTTCTGCCAACTATGAACAAGTTTTCTGAAGCCGTCATGGAAGAAGTCAACACTCTGTTTCCACAACCAGCATCTCACAGTTCTCTCAATGTCTTCATCAGAAGCATAATGATGTCCCCGCAAATCTTCTTTCATTATCGGGAACAGATGGAAGTCAGACGGTGCTAAATCTGGACTGTATGGAGGATGTTGTACGGTGGTGAGATCCAGTCTCTGAAGTTTCAAGTCTGTGTGCTTTCATTTCAGGCATCAGCATCCTGGGTACCCATCGTGCACAGATCTTCCGATAGCCAAGCAAAGCAATAATGTGACCCACATTCTTGTGAAATGCCGATTATGCTTGAAATTTCTCTCTGAGTGATACGACAATCGTCCTGAATCAATCTGTCAAACTTTTGCTTGTGAAACTCAGTGGTTGCTGTCACAGGACGTCCAACTCTTTGTTTGTCACGCAAGTCAGATGTTCCCACCTCAACATCTTTAAACTTACTCGCCCAACGACACACAATACTCACATCAACACAATCACCATTAACTGATTAATCTCCTTTTGGGTGACACCCTCTGCTGTCAAGAATTCAATGACTGCACGTTGCTTAAGTCTCATTGACCGACTGTCTGCGCAGGGTTCCATACTTTGCACTTTAACAACACAACCATTCAATGCTAAGGCTTCCTGCCAAAATGGAACTGTAGAGGAGAGTCTACTGAACAAGCCAGTGCCTGTCGCATACCAGTACTGCCATCTGTTGAGGAGTTACGAAGGTGGAGGCATTACTTTTCACTTTAACAATACAACCATTCAATGCTAAGGCTTCCCACCAAAATGGAACTGTAGAGGAGAGTCTACTGAACAAGCCAGTACCTGTCGCATACCAGTACTGTCATCTGTTGAGGAGTTACGAAGGTGGAGGCATTACTTTTCACTTTAACAACACAACCGTTCAATGCTAAGGCTTCCTGCCAAAATGGAACTGTAGAGGAGAGTCTACTGAATAAGACAGTACCTGCCACATACCAGTACTGCCATCTGTTGAGGAGTTACGAAGGTGGAGGCATTACTTTTCACTTTAACAACACAACCGTTCAATGCTAAGGCTTCCTGCCAAAATGGAACTGTAGAGGAGAGTCTACTGAACAAGCCAGTACCTGCTGCATACCAGTACTGCCATCTGTTGAGGAGTTACGAAGGTGGAGGCATTACTTTTCACTTTAACAACACAACCGTTCAATGCTAAGGCTTCCTGCCAAAATGGAACTGTAGAGGAGAGTCTACTGAACAAGCCAGTACCTGCCGCATACCAGTACTGCCATCTGTTGAGGAGTTACGAAGGTGGAGGCATTACTTTTCACTTTAACAACACAACCGTTCAATGCTAAGGCTTCCCGCCAAAGTGGAACTGTAGAGGAGAGTCTACTGAACAAGCCAGTACCTGTCGCATACCAGTACTGCCATCTGTTGAGGAGTTACGAAGGTGGAGGCATTACTTTTCATTCAACCCTCCTATGTACTAAGGGACCTGTAAAAATCCAAAATCCAAGATAATCCAGGAACTTTAAAGTTCCTGGATTATCTTGGATTTTGGATTTTTACTGCTTTAGTATTTTTACTGCTTTGCCTACTTACATTCTACAATAAACTGCTTGCTGATTTTATTTCCCTCACCTTTGTCTAGATCTGAACTATTGTGGGTCGCATTCCCCTTGCCAAAACGGAGGCACCTGTGCCAACAAGGAGCCCAACGAGTACGAGTGCCTCTGCCTGGAGGGTTTCGGCGGCCGGAACTGTGAGAACGGTGAGCACCAAGAAGTAATCGTCAGTTTTCAAAACCCTTTTGAATTCCTTTTTGAAAAGCAAACAACACCAAAGCTTCCAGCAATGGAAAGGAAAAACTTGGGATGCTGTTAAATGCATGTACCTTTATTGTCTTGGTTCACTGCTATGGAGTCATGGGGGATGTAGTTTTCCAAAGTCTTTTATTATTATTTACAGTATTTATATTCCTCCCTTGATGGAGTACTTCCTCATTCTTTTGCATGTTGTTGGAGAGTTTTATGACATCGTAAATTAGTTAAATTAGCCTCCAATGTTATGGAGTCATGTAGGATGTAGTTTTCCAAGGTCTTTTATTATTATTATTTACAGTATTTATATTCCTCCCTTGATGGAGTACTTCCTCATTCTTTTGCATGCTGCTGGAGAATTTTATGGCATTGTAAATTAGTTAAATTAGCCTCCAATGTTATGGCGTCATGCAGGATGTAGTTTTCCAAGGTCTTTTATTATTATTATTATTTACAGTATTTATATTCCTCCCTTGATGGAGTACTTCCTCATTCTTTTGCATGCTGCTGGAGAATTTTATGGCGTTGTAAATTAGTTAAATTAGCCTCCAATGTTATGGAGTCATGCGGGATGTAGTTTTCCAAGGTCTTTTATTATTATTTACAGTATTTATATTCCTCCCTTAATGGAGTACTTCCTCATTCTTTTGCATGCTGCTGGAGAATTTTATGGCGTTGTAAATTAGTTAAATTAGCCTCCAATGTTATGGAGTCATGTAGGATGTAGTTTTCCAAAGTCTTTTATTATTATTATTTACAGTATTTATATTCCTTCCTTCCCACCCGGCAGGGGACTCAGAGCAGATCACAATGTACATATACATCACAAACATTCAATACCATAGACACACAACATATATAAGCAGACACACAGAGGCTATTTAACTTTCCAGCTTCATGAGGGTATGTTTCGAATTCCGGCCACTGGAGGAGCTGTTGCTTCACCATCCACTTGTGACACCGATGGAGTACTTCCTCATTCTTTTGCACTGCTGCTGGAGAATTTTATGGCATTGTAAATTAGTTAAATTATCCTCCAATGTTATGGAGTCATGTGGGATTTAGTTTTCCAAGGTCTTGTATTATTATTATTATTATTTACAGTATTTATATTCCTCCCTTGATGGAGTACTTCCTCATTCTTTTGCATGCTGCTGGAGAATTTTATCGCGTTGTAAATTAGTTAAATTAGCCTCCAATGTTATGGAGTCATGTGGGATTTAGTTTTCCAAGGTCTTTTATTATTATTATTATTTACAGTATTTATATTCCTCCCTTGATGGAGTACTTCCTCATTCTTTTGCATGCTGCTGGAGAATTTTATGGCGTTGTAAATTAGTTAAATTAGCCTCCAATGTTATGGAGTCATGTAGGATGTAGTTTTCCAAAGTCTTTTATTATTATTATTTACAGTATTTATATTCCTTCCCTTCCCACCCCACAGGGGACTCAGAGCAGATCACAATGTACATATACATCACAAACATTCAATGCCATAGACACACAACATATATAGACAGACACACAGAGGCTGTTTACCTTTCCGGCTTCATGAGGGTATGCTTCAAATTCCGGCCACTGGGGGAGCTGTTGCTTCACCGTCCACTTGTAACACCAATGTAGTACTTCCTCATTCTTTTGTATGCTGCTGGAGAATTTTATGACGTTGTAAATTAGTTAAATTAGCCATGTCGGATGTAGTTTTCCAAAGTCTTTTATTATTATTTACAGTATTTATATTCCTCCTTTCTCACCCTGCAAGGGACTCAGGGCAAATCGCATATACATGGCAAACATTTAATGCCATAGACACACAACATATACAGACACATAGAGGCTATTTAACTTTCCAGCTTCATGAGAGTATGTTTCAAATTCCGGCCACTGGGGAGCTGTTGCTTCACAGTCCAATTGCACATAACCACCGTGACCAACTTAAAATACTGGTGGGGTTTGGGGACAGGGGATCGAACAAGGATGATGGGACTTATAGTCCACCAACACCCAGAGAATTGTGAATCATGGCCACAGATGATGGATTTTGACCAAACTTGGCACATATAACCATTGTGACCAACTTAAAATAAAGGTGTGATTTGGGGGCGGGGGAATCAAGCAAGGATGATGGGACTTATAGTCCACCAACACTCAGAGAACTATGAATCATGGCCACAGATGACGGATCTTTAGCAAACTTGGCACATATAACCATGATGACCAATTTAAAATACAGGTGTGGTTTGGGGGCTGGGAATCGAGCAAGGATGATGGGACTTATAGTCCACAAACACTCAGAGAACTATGAATCATGTATCTTGACCAAAGTTGGCACATATAACCATTGCGATGGACTTAAAATACAGCTGGGGTTTGGAGACCATGGATTGACCAAGGATGATGGGATTTATAGTCCACCAACACCTGGAAAACTATGAATTATGGCCACAGAGATGATGGACCAAACTTGGCACATATAACTATCGTGATCAACTTAAAATACTGGTGGGGCTTGGGGATGGGGGATTGACCAAGGATGATGGGACTTATAGTCCATCAACACCCAGAGAAACGTGTTATGGCCACTGATCTTGACCATATTTATTTATTTATTTACTTACTTACTTTATTTGTATACTGCTGTTCTCAGCACTTAGGCGACTCAACTTAAAATACCGGCGGACTTTCAGCAGGGATTGGTGCAGGATGATGGGAGCTGTAGTCCATCCCTATCCAAAGACCCACATCCAGAGAGCCATGTGTATTTCTAATTGGATCATTCATAACTGTGACATCCATAACCACACAATGACTATTTCTAATATCTATCATTACAATGGATAGGAATTGTGGGAGTTGTAGTCCAAAACACCTGGAGGGCCAAAGTTTGCCCATATCTTGTTTAGAACCTAAAAAATATATCAAATAGAATAGCTAATGGATTTTTTGCACCAACCAATGGCTCATTCAAGATCCAAAGTGAGGGAGCATACCTTGTTGTGGACTAGTCACTTGCGCAGGCTGTTTTGAAACTGTCTTTGTTCTCTTTCTTTGAATATGGTGCCAGCTCTCCTATCCTTGGGAAAAGAATCGACTTGCGCTCTGGAGCTTTGTGCCAATGGGGGAACGTGCCTCCGAAGCGCATCCGGATGGCGATGCGCCTGCCTCCCGGGATGGAGCGGAGAGAAGTGCCAGGATGGTAAGCGGGCTCCCATTTGGGCGAATTATTAGGCGTTTGGGAAAGAAAATCAAAGTATTTACATATATTGGTTTGCCTGTTTGTTCCCAAAGGCTCCTATAGAGCGTGATGGATCTGGGCCAAAGATAATGAGGTATTTTATTTATTTATTTATTTATTTACTCCTTTTTTATATCGCTTTTCTCAGCCGGAGGCAACTCAAGGCGGTATTATTTTTATTATTATTATTATTGAGCCATCCAAAAGCAAATATGGATTTCACTTCCAAAAGCAAAAGATAATGGGGTATATTATTTATTTATTTATTTATGTATTTACTGCTTTTTTATACCGCCTTTCTCAGCCGGAGGCGACTCAACGCGGTATAATAATAATAATAATAATAATAATAATTATTATTATTATTATTATTATTATTATTATTATTGAGCCATCCAAAAGCCAAGATGGATTTCACTTCCAAAAGCAAAGATAATGGGGTATATTATATATTTATTTACTGCTGAGCCGCCTCAGCCAGAGGCGACTCAAGGTGGTATAATTATTGTAATTATAATAATATAATTATAGTGGTTGTTGTTGTTGTTGTTATTATTATTATTATTATTATTATTATTATTATTATTATTATTATTATTATTGAGCCATCCAAAAGCAAAGATGGATTTTACTTCCAAAAGCAAAGATAATGGAGTGTTTTTATTTATTTGTTTGTTTGTTTGTTTATTGATTTTTTATACAGCCTTTATTTATTTTATTTATTTATTTAATACACTTGTATTACATTGCCACCACATATTTATTTTATTTATTTATTTAATACACTTGTA